ATCAATGAAAAAAAGTCTTTTCCCATAATTGATTTAGGCCCGCAATGTTTTCCTAGCAAATAGAAACCTACTTTATGTAATTATTTACAAATTTTGCTCAGCCTTCTGTAACACAATTGTATAATTGCACATATAATTTTAATAGTTGCTAAGTAGCCATCTCCACGGTTTAAGTTCACTGATTCCTTCAATTCATACCAAGAGTAACCAGCCCCACGTTGCAAAATATTTTATGTAATTCATTTATTAAAAAATTGGAACAGGAAAGAAAGAGACAAATATGAAGGAAGCATTTATAAAGTTATTGCTGCCACCTAGTGTTTTAAATACTGCTATAGCCACCATCGACCTTTTTACCAGCAAATTGAACATATTGTAGAATCTATATACAGTATATAAAAGCGAAATACCACTCATGCATAATCACAAAATCTCCAGAACCGTAAAGCCTACAAACTTGAACTTTGGCACGTATGTTCCTCTTGGCTTCCAGGTGCTCACTAAGAAAGGATTTTTCGAAATGACCATCAGAGCTATTAGTATTTCCTACATTATAATTATTATTAACACACTCTGATGCTAAGGAGTTCTACTCCCCCTCCCCACCTGAAAAGAAATCTCTTCCAAATGCAAAACACAAGCAGAGGAGAGGAGTTTCAGTTTCAGTTTCAGTTTCACAGCACCAAGCAGCTTTAGTACAGAGCAGTTGAGCTAACCCATGCCCAGGCTCCTGGCTGTCTCCTTCTTGCTCACACAGCAAATACCGTTTCAGTTTCCAAACAGTCCTCAACTCTCTCACACTGACAGGATGCTAGCCAGATGAATACCGATGGATGCTGGTAGGCAGAGGCAGAATTTTTCCTCTTATTTTCCTCCCCAAAAACTAAGCCCAACCACATAGTTTTGTAGCGAAGCACGGGTATCGAGCTAGTATAGATTAGCAGAGTTGGAAGGGACCTTGGAGGTCATTTAGTCCAATCCCCAGCTTGAGCAGGAGATCCCATACCATTTCAGACAAATGCTGTCCACTCTCTTCTTAAAAGCCTCCTATGACGGAGCATCCACAACTTCTGAAGGCCAAGCTGTTCCATTGGTTGATGTTAGGAAACTTCTCCTTACTTCTAGGTTGCTTCTCTCCTTAGTTTTGTTCAACTCCTAATAACTGAGTCTGCTGTTATTTATCTCCATCAGGTACTTTATGTTTCAAGATAATGCAATTGATTTCACGGAGTCATGCAAGCAACATGATGTGCTGCGTAAATTGCATTACTTTGAGTGGGTGTCAAACTATTCTAAATGTCTATTGAAGTAAATCACCTTTTGATCTGGTTGGAAAAGAGTGTTTAGATCCAATCTAATTGATGCTAGATTCCAAAATGGATGCAGATGTGATCTGCTGGATATTGAGCTGACCCACATTCCTGTTCTGTTTGCTGTTAAAATTGAACATGTATGAACATCATACATGGGAAAAGCTTTCATTATTTGTGTGTCTCTTTCTTTCTTTCTTTCTTTCTTTCTTTCTTTCTTTCTTTCTTTCTTTCTTTCTTTCTTTCTTTCTTTCTTTCTTTCTTTCTTTCTTTCTTTCTTTCTCTCTCTCTCTCTCTCTCTCTCTCTCTCTCTCTCTTTCTTTCTTTCTTTCTTTCTTTCTTTCTTTCTTTCTTTTTCTTTCTTTCTCTACCTACCTACCTACCCACCTACCTACCCATCCACCCATCTTCTTCCCTCCCTTACTTCCTACCCATCTATCCATTCATCCATCCATCCATCCATCCATCCATCCATCCATCCATCCATCCATCCATCCATCTATCATCCATCTATCATCTATCTACCTTCCTTCCTTACTATCATCCATCTATTATCTATGTATGTATGTATGAATGTATATCTATCTATCTATATCATCTGCCTATCTGCCTATCTGCCCATCTATCTGTCTGTCTGTCTGTCCGTCTATCTATCTATCCGTCTATCATCAATCTGCCTTATAGATCTATCTATCTATCTATCTATCTATCTATCTATCTATCTATCTATCTATCTATCATCTATCTATCTATCTATCTATCTATCTATCTATCTATCTATCCATCCATCTATCATCTGTCTATCTGCCTATCTATCTATCCATCCATCATCTGTCTATCTGCCTATCTGTCTGTCTGTCTATCTATCCATCCATCCATCTATCATCTGTCTATCTATCTATCTGTCTATCTATCTATCTATCCATCCATCTATCTATCTATTTTGTCTGAAGTGAAGTTTGTCTATTTGACATATGCCACCCATCTTGCTGAGAAGAGACTGTGCTCAGCTTACAAACATTTAAAGCCGGTAAGACTATAATATAAACTTGTAAAACATTAAAACAATGACTAATAATGTTGACGAGTATAAGCTTATAAAACATTTTTATTTTACATTTATTAGCTAACCAACTCCAGTAGACTCTGAGCTGTGTATAAAACTGGGGGAAAAACATTTTTAAAAAATCTAAAAACATTAAATCAGACAAGCAGCCCAGACTAAAATGATCCAATGAACAACAGAATCAACACAACCACAACAACAGAATTTATATTAGTGGATGCTAGCATCTGTACACTCGCACACTGAGAATTTGCTATCATTGTAATATGTGGAATACGTAGTGCTGCTGTAACTTCCAAGCCAATTAAAAATGTAACTATGGTTTATGACCAAAACAAATTCTGTCTAGCTGCTTCAGATGTTGGATTATATTAAAGCAACAATCGTGCCATTTTAATCTTATTTAGCTTTAAATTAATAGGTGCAAAAAAGGATTAGCTTAGTTTTGGCAAGTTTGGGGGGAATGTTAAACAATGTTTTATGTATACACACCTGGAATCTTAACAGAGAAGAAAACTTTTAGGTCTGTACATGCACAGGTTTGAGCTTAATTCAAAATAGTTTAGAAGTGCTTTGCCTACTATTGAAGTATGTTTGAAGTAGCTCTTTTGTACAATGAAAGTAGCTACCCGATTTGACCCAACTGCTTTAAGAATCTTAAAAGAGATTTTTTTGAAGAGGGGCAAGTTGCAAGGTGACTCTTTCAAACCAATTTAATACTGTTCCTTATTATTATTATTTCCTACTTAGCCAAACCAAAACGTAACTTGAAATATAGACTCATAAAATTGGCTTGCGCAAGACCGTTGTTAAGTGAATTTTCATCCCTGCAGTTGTTCAGTGAGTAACATGGTTGTTATTTAAGTGAATCTGGCTTACCCACCAATTTGGACTGTCAGAAGGTCACAAAAAAGGGAATCACATGACCCCGGGATACTGCAACTGTCATAAATACGAATCAGTTGCCAAGCATTCAAATTTCAATCACGTGCCATGGGGATGCTGCAATGGTCGTAAGTATGAGAAACGGTCAAAAGTGTTCTCACCCAGGCTTTGTCAAACGTAATTAATCACAAACTTGATTTAAAAGCAAAACCTATTTCATTGCAATGCTGAGAATTGCTTTCATTCCCAGCCAGGACTAATCTTAAACAGTTCTCCAAGATAAGCACACACCTTTCAGTGCTGTGGAACGCTACCAAAAACAGAAGTATCCAATTAATTATAAAAGAAACCAACCAAAGTACCAGAAAAAAAACCAACCAGAGTACACAGAGCTTCAAGGAGGACTCGGAATCTATTGAACTACTTTGCTTCCTGCAAAACTTTTTGTCATTGAGGTCTAACTTTTATCCCTTATGAGAGGGGCAATCACCTCCCAGCCTTACTCCCGAGTGTCCACTTTTGTCTCAGCTGCTCTTGCCTCCTAGCAGCCATGTGCACATGTGCACCGGGACCAGGCTCCCCTTGTTCCTCTGCCTCACTGCTGCCAGAGTCCAAAGGTCCAAAGGCAGTACCCCACTCCCAGATGGTTCTGGCCCCATCCCTGCATCGGACACAGGACCCTCGTCCGAGTCCACTCCAGACTCCCAGACTGGTCCCCTTTCTTCCCCACTGTCCGACTCTGCTGCCATCTGCACTGGCTGCCTGCGAACCACAACAATAAGTCATTTTTTTCACATTGTAATGTTGAATGGCCACAAAATGAATGGTTAGGTCGAGGACTAATTATACACACTTAGAATGAGGCACTGAATTTAAAGAGACGTGGTTCGGAATAAATGGGAGTAAGATTTACCTCAGAACACCATCTACTCAGTACAGCTAGTCCTCGACTCCCAACGATTCATTTAGTGACCGTTCAAAGTTACAACGGCACTGAAAAAAGTGACTAATGATTGTTTGTCCACACATGACCGTTGCAGCATCCCCAAGGTCACGTGATCAAAATTCAGAGCCTTGGCAACTGACTCACATTTATGACAGTTTCAGTGTCCCGGGGGGTTACGTCATCCCCTTTTGCAGCCTTCTGACAAGCAAAATCCATAAGGTTAGACTGCAGGCAAACTTACCTCACTGTCCATACGTGCGCCTCACAGCTGATTTTTGGCTGGTTTGAGGCCTTTTTCGGCCTCCCAGAGGCTTGAGGAAGGCTTCTGAAGGCTTTGCAGGCCGAAAACTAGGCCCATTTCAGCACTTCCTGTTTTCCCGAAAATACCGGAAGTGACGAAACAGGCCTAGTTTTTGGCCTGCAAAGCCTGCAGAAGCCTGCAAAGCCTTCCTCAAGCCTGTGGGAGGCCAAAAAAGGCCTCAAAGCAGCCGAAAATCAGCTGTGAGGTGCAGTGCAAGTAAGGGGGCAGGGGGGGCGGGTGGGGATTGCGCACGCATGTGTGGGGGGCGTGAGGGGGCGCATTGCCTTCTGGGTGCTGGCACGTGAGCGCGAGCATGCAAGTGTGTGCACAATTTTTGGCACAGGAGCCCAAAAAGGTTAGCCACCACTGGTATATACAGTACCACCTTTGCATTATAATAACTATGTAGCTTATCTAATGCTCATCATTATTGCAAACCATTTACAGACAGGTATTCAGCAATTTCCCCACAGGGTGCCACGTTCTTCGAGCCTAACTTTTACAAGTAGCGTGTCTGTCGGATTCCTCAGCGATTTCGTTTTTAATGGCTATAACTTGATCCTCCAGCTGCTTCAGCTGATCCGCCTTTTGCTGTTTAATCTGGTTCAAATCTTGTATCTTCTTTTCCAGATCTAAAAATAACCAAAGCAAGGCATGTAAACAGAGGTAAACAGATTAACGGAGTTGGAAGGGACCTTGGAGCTCATATAGTCCAACCCCCCCTTCTGCCCAAGCAGGAGACCCTACACCATTTCTGACAGAGGGCAGTCCAGTCTCTTCTTCCAGTGATGAAGCTCCCACAACTCCCGAAGACAACTTTTGTTCCGTGGGTGGACTGCTCTTACTGTCAGAACATTTCTCCTTATTTCCAGGTTGAATCTCTCCTTGATCAGTTTTCACCCATTGTTCCTTGTCTGGCCTTCAGGTGCTTTGGAAAATAGCTTGACCCTTCCTCTTTGTGGCAACCCCTCAAATATTGGAAGACTGCTCTCCTGTCTCCCCTGGTCCTTCTCTTCACTAGATTACCCTGGCTCAGTTCCTGTAATCGTTCTTCATTATGTTTTAGCCTCCAGTCCCCTCATCATCCTGGTTGCTCTTCTCTGCACTCTTTCTAGAGTCTCAACATCTTTTTTATAGTGTGGTGACCAAAACTGGATGCAGTACTCTAGGTGTGGTCTTACTAAGGCTTTATAGCAGGGGTGGGCAAACTTTTTGGCTCGGGGGCCTCATTGACTTTTAAAATTTGACAGACGGGCCGGGTCAGCACAAGATATGATACATATAAAAAACTGCAAAATCTCCGCAAAATCAAGTCACTGCGCCTAATGTGCCACCTGGTGTCGAAATGCCTGTCATTACAAGTCAAAATCAAATGAATGCAATCATTCAATCATTCACATCAAACCTTAATTCTGTACCAATCTTCGGTGGGCCGGATTAAAAAGACCAACGGGCCGGATGTGGCCCGCGGGCCGTAGTTTGCCCACCCCTGCTTTATAGAGTGGTATTAGTACCTCCCTTGATCTCAATTGTATCCTTCTGTTAATGCAACTTGGGATTGCATTGGCTTTTTTGGCTGCTGCCGCACACTGCTAGTCATATTTAGCTGGTTGTCCATTAAGACTCCAAAATCCGTCTCCCAGTTACTGCTATTAAGCCTGGTTTCACCCAGTCTGTATCAGAGGTGGTCTTCAGCAGGTTCTGACCAGTTCTGGAGAACCGGTAGCAGAAATTGTGAGTTCAGAGAACTGGCAAATAGCACCTCTGACTGGCCCTGCCCCAATCTACTCTCTACCTTCCACTGAGTCCCAGCTGATTGGCTGGGTCTCCTTTGGTTGCCCTGCACAGGAGAAGGGAGCTGGAAAGCAGGTTAGTGGGGTGGGGAGGGAATGGGAATTTTGCAGTAATCTTCCCCTGCCACGCCCTCCAAGCCAGGTAGTAAAAAATTTTGAATCCCACCACTGGTCTCTATCTACGTGCATACAAGTAATGTAAATTACCAGTGATTCTTTTCACTTTCTCCGCGGTCTCATTAGCCAGTTCTTCTGCCTCTTTTTTCAACCAGTTGAGTTTCTCCAAAGTTTCTAATGTAACTCCGTGGGTCAGGAGTTTGTCTTGCAAGTTGCTGTATTCGTGTTCAAGATTAGCAAGCTCCTAAAAATAAACAAGGAACAGAGTCTGTATAAATGCGTCCAAATTTTGATCACGTGACCATAGGGAATTCTACAGTGGTTGGAAGTGTGAAAAATGGTCATAACTCCCCCCCCCCTTTTTTTTTTCAGGGGGATAAACAAGGATGCTCAAATGGCATTTTACCTTATTACTCGCTGTCGCTTGAGTTTGGGCTTCCTCTGCCTTTGATCTTGCATCTATGGCTTGGATTCTGTTCCTCTCCATTTTGGTCTTCAGGGAACCTATTTCGTTGGCCAGTTTGGACTGTTTTTCTGGAAAAGCCTGCAACTCAGTGGCAGCCTTCTTCATTTGGTTCTCAGCCTGCACCGAGAAACATAACTAATTAAAGGGGTTGCCCTCATTGTTAGAGGACAATGATTGAAAAAGACAAGAGAATGTTAAAAAATTAAATCTCAAATGTCCCAAAGGTGCTTTTTTCAAGAGGCAACTGGACTTTTCTGGTTTTTCTTGGAAGATGTTTCGCTTCTCATCCCAGAAGCTTCTTCACCTCTGACTGGATGGTGGGGAATGGAAGGATTTATACTCCTTGCAGACAGCTGGTCATTTGCATCCTTTTAGAGGGTCATTGAGGCCACTTGGAGGTTTAATCTGTGTCCTCAGGGTCACCTGAGTAGTGGTCCTGGTTCCTAGTCTGCAATTTTTCCTCTGGGAATCCGTTCCTACTCCATTCCAAGGGTGTTCATCCCGAATTGTCTAGACTGATTCTCAGTCATCCGGAGATATACAGATAAACCTCCAAGTGGCCTCAACGACCCTCTAAAAGGATTCAAATGACCAGCTGTCTGCAAGGCGTATAAATCCTTCCATTCCCCACCATCCAGTCAGAGCTGAAGAAGCTTCTTGGGTGAGAAGCGAAACGTCTTTAAAAAAAAAACCAGAAAGTCCAGTTGCTTCTTGAAAGAAGCACTTTTGGGACAACAATGATCTGGATGACTGAGAATCTCCATAGATAAATATCACATGCTTTAATTTACGATCTTTGAGTGGACCGAGGATACCTCTGAAATATTTGCTATCGTTTTTTCCACTTTCTCATTGAAAGTTGCCAAGGCATCTTGGGTTTGTTGCTGAGTAACTTCTACTTCTTTCAGGTGGGTTATAATTTCATCAGCCGTGGTGAGAGCTTTTGTTTTATCCCTGAGTTTAAAAAGAAAGAAAGACATACCTTGAAAGAAGCAAGAAATCTGCATGCTAGGAAGTATTAATTCGAAGGAGAATATAATAATTAGAGAAAGGAAGAGAACCCAATGAGCAAACCCAATGAATCTTTATTGCATGTCATTTAGGAAATAGGACAAGAATGGAACAGAACATTAGAGTTACAAAGGACTTAATCATAACTGCATTGCTCAGTTGACATTGTTTTTCTCACTGAATGATTCAAAAGTTATTATGGGATACATTTAGCCAAATCAGAATATCCATTTTCAGGGGTTTGCATTGGATGATCACAAATATAAATAAGACATTGTTGGGGTCCTTGGTGCTCTCTAAGCTTGGTTGTTTTCTTGCAGATGTTTCATTACCCAACTGGGTAACACCATCAGTGCTAGAAGGGAGTGGAGTTTGTGGAGCGGAGGAGAACAGTGGGGCCCTTGGTGCTCTCTGAACTTTTTTTTTTCTGCAGACATTTCATGACCCAACTAGGGAACATCATCAGTATGTTCTGACCTAGTCTTCCCAAAAGCATGAAGCCAACTCCTCATCCTGATAAAACCCCTTTTATTTAGGTTAAAGGGAATTCCTCTCCAGCAAAGTCCCAGCCAACAGTCTTTCAAGAGATTTCACAACTACAAACCTTTATCAGGCTTGGAGAGTTGCTAGGCCAATATCTTCCAAATGCCACACTGTAGCAGACAATACTTGGCAAGGAGTCACGAACAGATCTTCACCCTAATGAATTGAACCAATTGTTTCCTGCAAACCCCACTCCCCTTTCACTCCTCTTTATTTCTTATGGGAGGGGCCATTTACCATCCACCTGTGGCCATTACTTCAGAGTCAGCCCTTGTTCCTTAAATGTTCCCTTCTCCTGGCAGCTCTGCGCATACACATACTGGGAACAGGCTCCAGCTGCTCTTCTGCCCCACTGATCTCCGACTCCAAAGGCAGCTGATAATTGTTGGACGGCCTGTGCCCCATCTCTGCCTCTGATGCAGAGCCCTCATCAGAGCCTTCCCCAGACTCCAGGACTGGCCCATGTTTCCCCCCCCCCAACCTCCTCACTGTCCGAGTCCACTGCCAGTTTCTCTGGCCGCTGGCGGGCCACAACACAGTGCTTGAAGGGACTGCAATTTGTTCTCATTGGCCACTCCCTTTACCACTGATGATGTTATCTAACTGGATAATGAAACATCTTCAAGAAAACAGCTAAGCTGAGAGAGCACCAAGGACCCCACAGTTGAAATACAGGTAGTCCTCAACTTACGACCACAACTGAGCGCAAGTGAGAAATTTGGTACATGAGTTTTGCCGCAGTCCACGACTTTCCTTGCCACATTTGTTAAGTTAATCCCTGCACTTGTTAAGTGAGTAACACAATTGTTAAGTGAATCAAGCTTCCCCATTGACTTTGCTTCTCAGACGATGGCATGACCCCGGGACACTGCAACCGTCATAAATATGAGTCAGAATTTTGATCACATGACCATGAGGATGTTGCAATGGCCATTCGTGTGAAAATGATCATAAGTCACATTTTTCAGTTCTGTTGTAGCTCGTATCGGTCACTAAGTGAGTTGTTGTAAGTTGAGGACTACCTGTAGTCTCACCTATCAGTACAAATAAGAAAACACATTACTTACTCAGCTTCTTTGGCTTTCTTCAAAAGCTTCTCTGGTTCTTCCTTTTGTTTCTTTAAGTTTTGGGTATATTTTGTGCTGTCCTCACAATGTGTTATGAGACTCTTGAGGTTGTTGAGAAGGTCTGGCAGCTCCTGAGGTCCCTCGTGCATCTTGATGGCCAGAACATAATTTGCAACTTTTTCTATATCCTCCGGCGGGGCACTTTCCTCTTAGAAAAGTGAGGAGGGATGTATGTAGGGTCAAAACTTTGCATCCTAGACTTATACACCGCTTCACAGTGCTTTACAGCCCTCTCTAAGTAGTTTACAGAGTCAGCCTCTTGCCCCCAACAATCTGGGTCCTCATTTTACCGGCCTTGGAAGGATGGAAGGCTGAGTCAACCTTGAGCAGGTCAGGATCGAACTGCTGTCAGTTGGCAGAATTAGCCTGCAGCACTGCATGCTAACCACTGCGCCATCATGACTTAGATAGCAATAGCCCTTAGCCTTATAAAGCTCTTCACACAATGCTTTACAGCCCTCTCTAAGCAGTTTACAGAGCCAGCATCTTGCCACCAACTATCGGGGTCCTCATTTTACCGACCTCGGAAGGATGGAAGGCTAAGTCAACCTTGAGCCGGTCAGGATTGAACTCCAGGCTATGGACAGTCTGCCTGCAATACTGCCTTCTAACCACTGCACCACCACAGCTTAAATAACAATAGCACTAGCACTTAGACTTATATATTGCTTCATACTCTTTACATCCCTCTTTAACAGTTTATAGAGTCAGCCTATTGCCCCCAACAATGTAGGTCCTCTTTTTAATGACCTCGGAAGGACAGAAAGCTGAGTCAACCTTGAGCCAGTCAAGGTTGATCGAACTGCTGGCAGTCGGCAGAGTTTGCCTGCAATACTGCATGCTAACCACCATGCCACCCATTAAAAATAATAATGTTTTATTATCTAATTGTTGTTTTTTGTGCATTGTTTTAGATCAATGTTTCAACCTCAGATCTCAAGATGTGTGGAATCCAATTGCTAGAATTCCCCAGCCTGTTGGGAAGCTAATTATTTATTAATATTCTTATTTGTGTATATACACATTAGTGTATTATTTATTAGCATTCTGTTTGTGTATATGCACAAAACCCTTTGTCCACATTTTTATAATGCTGTAACATACCTGAATTACTTTGAATGGTCAGTTCTTGGTATGAAGAACAGTTGCTTAAATGTGAGCTAAATTGGCTTATTATTAATCGAAAGTGGACCACAACTGATATTAATAATATCATTTTAATTTTGTTAACATGCCTGCAACGCTGAATTTATTTCGCACGACGTATACTGAAAACGGGAGAGAAAGAATAGCACATTTACCTAGCAAAAAATTCTTCAGTCTCTTGATCAGCTGTTTCATGTTTTCTCTTTTGTTTTCCATTTGATATTTACTTTTCTCCAGTTTTCCATGTATCTCCAATGTTTTTTCCTTAGTGTCTTCAGTCATTTTCCTTATAGTTTTGATCTGTGAGGGTACATTTCGATAACAATCTGATTTTTCTTTTATTATCAGTTTTATTGGTGGTGGAAAAAACAAAGTGATGATAATATTTCCCCCATAACTTCTAGATCCGTTTTTCAGTTCTAACCCTAAGCCTGGATTAAAGCAAAAGTAGGTTTTAGGATCTGTTTTTTTAAAGTGATTGACTGAACTCATCCAAAGGCCAGAGGTATAAATTATTTTAGGAGAGGAAGTGATGTCAAAAAGTTAAACTTATCAGGTGAGAAAGATCAGCTCCCTACAGGAAGATCTAATTAAATTGATTCATTGCTAAACAACCTATGCATCCTCTCAACTAAGCATTAGCACCTGCATAGAGTTAGATCAGGGTCAATGGAATTCAAGGGAGTTCAGTTGTGACTATGTAAGGATTCTAGGCTGCTACCTCTTTTCACTCCACCCTCAGGTTCTGCACTCCTTCTCCTACAAAATGGTGGATACGACTGCACAGGTGAATCCACCAAGTTTGACTTTTTTAACCTGCCCCCTCCAGATAATTTTTGCCTGGGGGAAAATAGTTTTTGATACCCACATGTTAGACGTATATAAAATCAGAATCATAATACTACAAGTACAGTGGTGGGATTCAAAATTTTTATTAACGGTTCTGTGGGCATGGCTTGGTGGGCATAGTGTGGCTTGGTGGGCGTGGCAGGGGAAGGAGACTGCAAAATCTCTATTCCCATCCCACCCCACTAACCTGCTTTCCAGCTCCATCCTCCTGTTCAGGGCAACTAAAGTAGACCCAGCCGATCAGCTGGGACTTGGGAGGCAGAGAATAGATGGGGTTGGCGGGGCCAGTCAGAGGTGATATTGGCTGGTTATCCGAACTACCTAAAATTTCCACTACCGGTTCTCCAGAACTGGTCAGAACTTGCTGAATACTACCTCTGACCTAGTGTCTATTTTTACCATTCTAAAAATAGCCCACGGTGAATGGTTGGTTGTTAGCTTCCTTACTGTGGGAAAAATACCACACTGGAGGAAGGGAGCTAATCAGGGAAAGAGGGATGGGAATAAACAAAACCAGCATAGCTCTCTTCCCACACAGCCCCTACATTCCTGATTTGTGGGTGTAGCATAGTTTCCATGTCATTTCTGTAATTTAAAAAAAATAGATTCTTTGTACTGGACCTATTTCAGTACTGAGAGCATTTAAAATCTGCTTTCTCCAGAGACAGAGACAGAAGCTCATGTAGACCCTATAATCCAGAACAGTTGGTTTTCTGGTGCAGGCCAACTATACTGTTGGAGACTCATTCACAAACCCTGTATAAATTGGATAATTTATTAACTAGATCATTGTTCTTGAGAACAATCGTGCAGGAGCCATGTGTTATGCTCAATAATGCAAGAGAGCTTCTCCAACGACATCAGCAGTGAAAGATTGCACAAATTGTGAAAGTCTGTCATGCCGCCCTGTCAGAGTCTGAATCTGAGGAGGAAGATGAACAGCTGACAGGGAGTGGGAGTGTGGCTCTGTTGGCTGTGGATGAAACTGGGGAAGGGCAAAGTCCGGCTGGGCAGAGCAGGGAAGAGGTAGAACAAGGGAGAGGGAGTTCAGAGGAAGACCCAGGCCCACCCTCTCTTCATCCTAGGGCACACAGGGAAGAATGGAGAAGAGAGCAACGTGGGGTACATGGCTTACAGGGGAGGAGAGGGCCCCGATTCCCTTCATTAGGCACACCTGGGAAGAGAGTTTAAAGGAGAGGCAGCTGAGAGCGGCGTTTTCTGGGAACAAATGTGAGTTTATCTTGTGCTGACTTTGCTTAACTGTGTTCCTGATGTCTTCCCAACCGTGTTGAGTTATTGCTGTGCCTTCTGGAATTCTTGCTCCTGCCCTGTTGGACTAGTTACTTCATCTTGCCTTGATTGGACTTATAGTTACAGTTTTTGTTGACCACATCTTAGACTTGATTCTCTGCAGCCAAAGGCTGTTCCTGGGAGAGTTTTTCTCCAGCCCAGAAGGTAACCAGGACATTGAGGGCAAAGTTGGAGCTAATAAAGGGACTACTACTGATTATCTGACAGCAATGCCTTTGCGCCACACCCCAGGTCATCACAAAGTCCTTTGAAAGTTTATTTGCTACTTGCCTCCAGTTGTGGGTGCTCCAACACTGGAGATTTTAAGAAGAGGCTAGACAACTATTTATCTGAAATATAGAGTTTCCTGTTTGAACAGGAAGTTGGACTAGAAGATCTTTGAGGTCCCTTCCAACTCTGTTATTCTGTACTCTGCTATTTTAAGAGAGATGGCACATGTTAAAAATCGAATCCAATTTCAATTATTGACTTACTAGTTACTAACACATGTCTATCTCTCAGCCTTAGTGTCAACACCTTTACAATAGGACACAATCAAGGAAGTAAGAATTGCATAGCTCTTCATAAGAAGTTTTTAATACAAGAATTAGCGGTAAGGTACAAAAATTTGGAAAGTATTATAGAAGCCTGCAGAGATCTGAGAGCATTAAGATAGACCATATTTGGAAGTTCTGGATGTCTTCTTCACATGATTTATGTACCTTAGCTGGACTGATTTGCCATTTATTAAATAAGCTACTAACAAATTGTTCAATTTGTTGATGCTTTATGTCTAGAGCACTCCTACCAAACAAACAAACAAAAGCCAGCACCTCTGGTTTTGTTGTGGGTGTTCCAACACTGGAGGTTTTTTAAGAAGAAATTGGACAGCCATTTGTCTAAAATCGTATAGGGTTTCTTGCTTGAGCAGTGTTTGAAGAGACCCCTCCAAGGTCTCTTCCCACACTGTTATTCTATGTTCTAAAGCAAGAGGAAGCAGGAAACATAAGTATTTGTGTAGGAAATTCTGTTTATATAAAGCGCCACAGAGCAAACAAAGAGCACAGTCACCATGTGCTTTACTGCTCAATTATTTTACTGTGACAGGAAACAGGAAACTCTACTTAGGACAAAAGAGCATATTCTGTTATTGTGGTTTCTTCCTCAGCCTTCTAACAATCTTTTGCAATTATCTCTCCATCTATTAACAGGGATTATTGCAATCTGTCTCTTGCGCATTTCAAGAACTGTGAAAAACTTTTGGAGCTCAGGAGCTTGCAACAAACATAAGTGTTAACATACAGTACCTTATTCTGAGATCCTTGCGTCTGATTAGTTAGGTTACTTAACAGCTGGCCTGTGAGATCAGCCTTTCTAAAGGCATTGGTAGAAACGGGGTATGCTCCATCACAGTTTGGACCACCACAATGTTTGTTGCCCTGCCTGTCACGACATAAAGCCCCGCCACACTCTGCCATGGCACATGAGATGTTTCCTGGCATCCCACATACCTGCATGAAAACACAAGTCAGGCATTCATAGTGAAGTGATCAGCAGAAACATAACTCAATGTGTTTTCATTCTGCAACCCAAATCTACTGGGGAGATGATCATGATTAACTCACATTTAATTACAACAATTTGTCTGAAATTGTATAGGGTTTCCTGCCAGAGCAGGGGGTTGGACTAGAAGTCCTCCAAGGTCCCTTCCAACTCTGCTATTCTATTTTGTTCTATTCTACTCTACTTTACTCTCTTCCCTTCCCTATTCCCTTCCATTCCTCTTCTCTTCTCCTTTCCTCTCCTCTACCCTTCCCTTCCCTCCCTTCCCTTCTCATCTCCTTCTCTATTCCTATTACTGTTCTATTATATTCTACCCTACCCTACATTTTATTCTACTCTACTCTACTCTACTCTACCCTACCCTATCTTCTATTCTATCCTACCCTACCTTCTATTCTACTCTACTTTACTTTACTCTACCCTACCCTACCCTACATTCAATTCTAGTCTACTCTTCATTCTATTCTATTCTATTCTATTCTATTCTATTCTATTCTATTCTATTCTATTCTATTCTATTCTATTCTATTCTATTCTACTCTATTCTACTCTACCCTACCCTACATTTTATCCTACTCTATCTACTCTACTCTACTCTACTCTACTCTACTCTATTCCATTCTATTTTTCCAACTGTTTTTCTGTTCTGTGACATATCATCAGCTCTGAAAATGTTTAAAATAGTGTACGCTAGCTAACATCTCAGGTTAAAACCTTTTAAATGGACTGACATAATATGTCTCAGGTCAGCTTACTATAAGAACAACATACAGTTAGTCCTTGACTTACAACCCAATTGAGCCCAACATTCTTGTTGCTAAGTGAGACATTTGTTACATGAGCTTTGCCCCATTTTACAATCTTTCTTGTCACACTTGTTAAATGAATCACTGCACCTGTTAAGTTAGTAACAACCATTGTTACGTGAATCCAGCTCCCCCATTGACGCCGCTGGTCAGAAGGTCGCAAAAGGGGATCATGTAACCATGGGACACTGCAACCGTCATAAGTACAAGTCAATTGCTAAGCGCCCGAACTTTGATCACGGGACCGTGGGGATGCTTCAATGGGCATAAGTGTGAAAACTGGTCCCAAGTCACTTTTTTCTGTGCTGTTGTACCTATGAACAGTTACTAAATGAATTGTTGTAGGTCAAGGAACCACCCGTATGTGATTTCTCATTAGCTCTATTCCTAATATATCCTCTTCCCAGAGATTTAGCTGATTTAGCCTTTTTCTCTGCAAGAAATTGTCTTACTTTTCCATTGATATTTTCAATTTCTGACATTGTGAACTTCTTCAGGTGACTCAATGTAACGTTCTCCTTTACGCCCAGGTCATTCAGCAGGGCAGACGCGTTGCTCCTTAGTTCTCCCCCGTGAACTAGGAGGGATCTGGTTTCGTTGGTTCTCTTCTCAGCAGCCAACATGATTTGATGATAATTCTTTAATTTGTCGAAAAAATCTGCAGGTCGAATGAGAGTCATTTCAACATAGCATCTAATCCAGGGGTGGGCTTCAAAAATCTTAGCAATGAGTTCTCTGCCCGGTTGCTGGGTGGGTGTGGCCATGGTGGGCATGGCC